GGCAGCCGGGTCCGGGATGTAAACATCCGGGAGCTCGGGTGGCGCGGACCCGTTTCCGGGCGTCGGGGTGTTCATCAAGGAGGAGGGGTCGAGATTGGAAGTGGGGGAGGCTGGAGCGCTAGCGTAGCGGTCCGAGTCCGAGTCTACACCGAACTTCGCAATCTTGACCGGTTGATCCCTTAGATCCTTTCTTCTGCTGTAAGGGCAACCTCAGCTCGGCGCGGGAGCGCGGGAGACTAGCGGGAGAATCCGAAGTAACTCAATTGACAGTACTAAATACAGGTTTCTAGAATACGCACTTAGCGGGAGAATCCGAAGAGAAGAAAGGATAAGGATTCCCACGCTAGGCGAGGTTTTTATAGGTACTAGCCAGTAGCACGTGTCCGGATCGATCGGCAGTGGTCTCGAGCTTGATCACATAGCACGTGCCAGTGAGAGCGACCGGACGCGGGGGGTCGGAGGGGGTTGGAGTCCGGAGGGACGGAGGGCGACGTTCCAGACGGAGGTGTAGGCTGGGGCATAGGACCGAAGGCCGGATGGACGGACGAGGCCGGACGAAGGATCGGACGAGGAAGTGGGGCGGTGCGATGGGCCGGAGCCGGACGGACGGACGGACGGGTGGTTCCCCTGTCACTGGATTGGAAAAGCAAAGTCCATGTCCACCGCGCCGTCACGAGTCCACAAAATGGCGAAGGAAGAATTTGCTATCCCCCAGCAATTTCAATTCAACTTCTTCCCCTCACCAATGCTTCCGTATGCAAAAATTCGGGATTTCACTGTGCCTCTCGAGTGCGTCCCCCACGGTGCCACCCAGACCGACCCCTTTGGGAGGAGCACTAGTAGATATTTTTCGGATATTTTTTCACAAAACTTGGCGTGTTTTAGAATTGGTTTTTGGCCCTTTTTAACACTAGAAAAAATTGAGTGTTCATTTACCCTGCGTTACCGTTACAAGTGTCCCAAGTGTTTATGAATGGAGAAAGTAGGATGGGTTGCACTCATGGATGCGAAGTTGGGCGTTGCCGTGCTTCAAGTTGGATTGCATTCGTCTATACACGGGCATACACCGGATCCATTTGCGAGGTATCAGGAGACGACGACGACGCGAAGCATTAATTGAATCGGGCGAAAAAGAAACAAGATCAAACACCATTATATCCTTGATCAACTCATGTGACATCAAATGCCCCCAGGCCTTGAATCAACGTGATTCCGCAATTCACAGGTCGTACAAGCTAATGACACAAGCCAGTGATGTGTCTCTCTGCATGTCAATTCGGGTACACGTGAATGAAAGCAGAATGTCGCTCGAAACCTTCAATGGCATTGAGGGATTCATGACCTGGAGTTGAACTCAACGAAGAAACAAAAACAAAAATTTCCGTCCAATTTTCAAAGCATGCCTCGGGTGTCGACCCCACTTTTATAGCAGTTCTTGAGGCACTCGGGAAGTACCACATAAAGGATGGTCTCTCGGTTGAAGAATGTTCTTACTCCGCCCAGATTGGGATAGCCGACTGATACATTGATCCTCTGATCCAGCCGTGGGAATAGAACCTGGAACCGAAATTCCCACGGTTGCTGTCTCACAAATGGGTTTTCAATCCGGAGGTCCGAACTTACTCATCCCGAGAGCGAGCTGGGAATAGAGATTATTGCAACCTTGGCCCAGTATATAAAAGCAAGTAGTTTGCAGTGCGCACCGAGGGCTGCCCGTTAGGGGGTGTGCACCGTCATATCGTACGTGCAGACTTCTTGGACTGCCCCCGAGGTGTCCACTGACAGTGGCCGCCCTAGTGTAAGCCTGGACGGAGCAAGAGCAATTAAAAACCAATTCCGATCTCGCGGCTGCAATGCCCCTGCTCGGCACGCACCTCTCCACACAATGTCCGCTGTTCAAAGTCCCGCCGCTATCGCTCACTTTTTGTGGCAGCTGGACGTGCCTCGACACAATTACAAACTTCTTATGACCTGCCATACTCCAGTGCACTGTAGCTACGTTCAGATTCAGCAGAACTTATTGCGCCGAAAGGAAAATCAACTAGGAAGTTTCTGAACAGTGCTTGAGCCCAAATATGTTGTCTCGCCGAGTTGGAGTCGGCATGTAGAACCAAAAATGACAGTGACTCGGTCGTCGGCTGAGGGATCCCGGATATATTAGGATGAGTACACGTTGTGTATAGGTACGCAAAGTACGGGTGGACAAAGTGGGTGCATATAAGATGTACGATACAAGGGGCGAGATTCCGGATAGGAGGAATAGAAAAGAATAGCAAAAAGACATGGGCGAGATGGCGTTCCGTTGACGGTGGCGAGCACGGGTAGTGAGGGGCTTAGTTGGCGTGGAGATCGTCGGGCAATAAGGGGTTGCTGTCAAGGAAAAAATGGCCAGTAACAAGACCGTTGGATCGCGGCAAAAGAAAAGACGATGTGGAACCCGAGAAGAGAGCTCAGCGAAGAGAGAAGGGGTGACGAGAACAACGAGGCGAATTCTTAACATGTCCCAGCCCAAATAACGGCGATAAAAGAAAAGTCGAAAAAATAATCGTCGGAAGGTGCAGCCACATCCCGACGATGACGAGGAGCAGCCAAGAGCGCCGCACAATCATGCGGGTTGTGCATGAAGGTATCGAGCTCGTGCTGATATAGCCCGCGGAAAGGTAGAGGCAACCGCTCCGCAGAACCTCTCGCACCGAAGCATGCAAGAGATAACCCCCCAAATCTGCATCCCCACAAACAAACAAAAAACAGGGAAAGAAAAGCCAGGCAAAGATCGCTACACCCAAGAAACAACTGCCCACTTCCCACAGTGTGTGACCCCCGTGGCCGGCATGAGCAGGGGATCCGCCGAGAAAGGACCGGTGGTGCAGTGGTGCTCGAGGACCGACCGCGCGTCGTAGTCCTCGAAGTGCTGCGCTTGCGCTTCGGGTTTGCCTTCGTGCGCGGCTTGTGATGTGGTGCCGCGCATGATGCGCGTCGCGGTTTCGGGTGGAGGTGGCAGAGGAAAAAGTGGCGCTGGAGGTAGTGGAGGGCCGGCCGCCCTGAGAGGAGCACAGTCCGCGGCGGGGTGGGGTCTGTGAAGAGAGCTTGTTAGCGTTGTGCGCTCTGGTAAAGAGACCGAAGAGGAGAATGGACGAGGCGGAGTGGGGGGTGAGAGGATGGAAGGGCGATGCGTAAGAGTGGGCTCAAGGCGCAAGCGCCAAGAAGACCCAGTAAGAAACGGAGGGGGAGTACGGTGGGCGTGCGCAGAAGAAGAGGGGGGAGAGGCGAGAAAGAATGGACGACGAGGACCAGGTTTACAAAGGGAAGCTCGAAGCGTGGTGGAGGAAGGTGCAAAGAAGAAAGAGAAGTCGCACGCGCGAAGGATGCGATGGAGGAACGAAGGAGGGATGAACCATGGTCGAGGAGAAAGGTGTGGCGGGTGTGCACGAGGAAAGGGCGAGGAAGAGAGGATGGTCGGAGTGTGTATGAAAGAAGGGAATAAATCAAGACCAGCGCAAATAGAGAAGAAAGCAAAAGACGAGCCAAAAAAAAGCACCTCATCAAGATCTGTGGCCCCACCGCGCCCTCGAACCCCGTTGACTCTGGTACGCGGAGAACTGTGCGCGTAAACGGGGCGCGCTCGAGAGTTGCGTCGCGCACTGGAAATGGAGGAAAGCCGACGTGTGCGTGGAGAAGCGCGCGAAGGAGGAAGTCGAGCTGCTAGAGATGGAGAAGAGGGCGGCGGCGTGCGGGATGTTGGAGAGGCACGGAGAGCCGCGCGTGCAGATCGTGCGCATCGATCGTTGCCAGGATATGCACGCTCGCTCGGCAGCGAAGGAATGCCACCTTGCCTCAGGAGGTCGTGCGCGAGTGTGCGTCGATTGTGGATGTATATGAGACGGACGTTGCCGTCCGTGCGCATGCCCACGCCAGGATCTGCATATCGGCGGGCACTAAAATGAAGAGAGATGTATACGCCAGCCAGAAGTGCGAAAACGGGATAGCGGAGGATGCCTGGTCCACGCTCCCACGGAGCCCCACAGGGGGACTGTGGCGTGGGCGTGGGTGAAGTGTTAGCGGGGAGATTCGAGCGGCATGGCCGATAATAGACGAGGTGCAATGCGTCTCCGGTGCCATCGATGGTGCTAAGTACGACTTGGACGGCCGCTGAATCATTGAATGAGTCGACAAAGAGGCGAGGGTGGAGGCGAGAGTGGGTGTTCGCTCGGAGCCAGTGCAGCTCAACCTGCTCGAGCGATTGAGTTCGCCTCTTCGATTCCGGCCCGAGTCATGACACTGCGCCATTCGTTTTGCAACCCGGATCATGGCCCAAAGAAAAGATCGTCCGTCCCCAAGAAATGGAAGGAGCCGCAAGAAATGAAGGGCGCAAGGACGGCGCACCATCGCACAAATCGCGCATCGCCGGCACTGGAAGGGCGCGGTATCGCCTGCCAAAATAACCTAGCCCGCAGGCCATCGCCCCCCGTCGCAGCGCAATCTCCCGAACCCGAAATGACCCCAAAAGACCCAGAAAAAAAAGGCAAGCCACAAAACTAAAAAAAAGCACGCCACACACCTTCCTCTCCAACTCCAAACACTCCCTCTTGTACTAATTCTGCAGCTCAGTCTGCTTGGCCTGCAGCCCCTTGAGCCCCTCCACATTCCTTTTCGTCGGGACGGGCAGCGCCTTGATGTACCCGCTTGACCTTCCTACGAGGTCCGCGAGCTTGCCGTGCACCATCCCTAGCATGGCGGTCTGCAGCCCGCCCGCACCGAGCGTCGTCAGCTCCTCGGCCTCTTCGCTGATGTCGGGCACGGTGGGCCGCGAGAGCCCGGACGAGATGGGGGCGTGCTGCGCGGGCGTGTTGACCGGCGTCGGCGCAGTAATGTTGGAGTTGGACGTCGAGATGGGCATAGAGAACGACATGGTGGAGGAAGGATAAGGGAGAAATTTTGACCGAGTTTTGAATTCACGTGGGGTGAGAAGTTCGGGACGTGATCCGAGTTGCAAAAAGGGATGACCCGGACCTGAATCGAACAGGCGAACTCCAGATAAAGAATGAAACTTAATCCTACATTTATTCTGTGCACGGACCATCCGCCACCGAGTCAGTATTAATATCGAGTTGAGACGAGTCTAGTAGGAACAAACAAGGGCCAGTGGTGGTGATGAAAGAATTCTGGTGCTTTCCGTTCTGGAGTCCTAGGGCCTTCTGATTAGTCCTATCGGATTTCTATTTCTATTTCGAGCTGGAGTGTTGCATTTGCACTCCGATTTCACCTTACAATAACCAAGGCTAAGCCTGGACAGCAAACCCAATAGCGGAACTGAAAAAAAGACGAAAACAAAAGCCGCATACTTCCCCTGTATGACTCGGGCCTGAATCGAACAGGCGAACTCCAGATAACAATCGACCACATGCAATATTTATTTTGGGTACGGACCATCCGCCACCGAGTCGGTACTCACCCTGATTTGACCTGAGTAAATAGTTTGAATCTAGTAGTAAGGTAGACCCCATCCACCCTCGACAAACGTCACGTGCACGCCACGGGAGGTTTCCTTTTTCAGAGGTGTTGTATAGATTCATGAATATAATTAGTTCCATTCACTTCTGACTAAATACCCTCAACCAGATTGTAGGTTTGAATCATATATATTGCCTGAAAAAAAGTTGGGGCTTAATGAGGTTGTGGAAGGCAAGAATTAAGCCAAGGATTTGGGCCTTCTCATCCCATCAATGGCATCACTTCCAGCATCACTTGTGAGCACGTCACACTCGTGGCTTAATTCTAGCCCTCCACAACCTTATAAAGCTATAAGAGTTTGTGGAACAATATACTATCCATGTCTACAATCGGGTTGAGGGAATTTAGCCAGAACTCAATGGAAGTAATTATATTCATGAATCTACGCAATCGTTCTGAAAAGGGAAACCTCACGTGGCGTTCACGTGACGTTCGTCGAGGGTGGATGGGGCCTACCTTAGGGCCCAAGTAAGGTGGTGGGGATAAGAGTGAACTTTCGGCTACAGTAGTCCCTTTTCCATTCATGCTCTCGGATTTCTATTTCCAGCCTGAGTTGCCTGATTTCAGCTTACAACAAGCAAGGCTAGGCCTGGACAGCAAATCTAGCGGAGCTGAAAAAACGATGAAAACAAAAGAAGTTCACGCCTCAGGTATGACTAGAGCCTGAATCGAACAAGCGAACCCCAATGGAGATTATCAAAGCACCCAAACTATTGTGGTTGCGGACCACCCACCACCAAGTCTTATTCTACTGATTTCAACCTGAATAAACCATAACCATGCCCTCCTGCCCGGGAAAACTTTCCGAGGGGGTGGATCCATGAAAATGCTAGTGGACCTTACTCAGTGGCCGCGACTAACCTGGGGATCAATACTAGGTTTCAACCTACTCAAATTTAGATCTACGAAAGGCACAGTGCTCCATTCCAATAATCGTCTATTTACAATTCTCGTAAGCACCTTCATGCATCTTGTATGGAATTTAGGAAACGACCGCCAATTTAATTCGAACTCCAACCAAGCAACACCGGTTGAGATCCATAACCGCTGGGTTGCCGCGATCGACTACGCCCTCAAACGTATTGGACCCTTCGCCCGCGGATCCACCTGGAAACAAAACCTATTCTTTTCCTTCCCTCAAATTCGTCCCCGCACTTCCGTGGGCCATTTTCCGCGCCGTTTATTCGTACGTCCGACAGATCCTGATAAGGCACAACGGTAGAAACGGGTCCAAAGCACGTATCCCCCCACAAACTCTTTTGCCCTAGTAGTGGAGGAAAGGATACGACGAGAGCGATGGTCATTTCCTCGACTCTTTGATGTACGATAATGTTCAGTCTGAGGTTTATTTAAGATCGAACTCGATGTAGGACCAAGTACTAGTACATTGAACAGGGTCTATATAGATGAATGCCCAAGGTTAAGCAAAGGCAGCGCCCACCACCCATGTGGTATCGTTGTTATAGAGCGCCGTAGCATCGAACGTGTCCGCGCCGCCGTTGCTCGCGGCGTAGAGGATGGCATTGAAGTGTCGCCAGTAGTGTGCCGGGTAGGACCACGAACGGATCGAGTTGCCCTCCCCGTTAATGCCGGCCTGCGGGCACCACGAAGCATCCTCGCTGAACAGCTTCGAGCCATCGTTAGCATTCACGAACAGCTCGAAGCCGGAGTGCCGGATGTAGCTGCCCGGCGTGTCGCGGGACTCAAACGACACGCACCCGGCAGCGGCGCTCGAGAGAGCCGTAACGACGTTCCAGCTCGCAGACAGCCTGAGTGCGTCGGTGTCGCTCGAGGTGACCACCTGGGTGTTGACCGTTGCGCCGGTGTGGGCGATGAAGCGAGTCGTGCAGCATGCCGTCGTTGCGCGGAACGACACCGCGGAGCCTACGCTGATGGCGGGCCCGCTCGTCAGAGAGGTGGTCGCGTATCCAGCCGCTACGACGTTGGCCTGGACCGCGTTCTCGGTTGCATCGGACGGGTAGCCGGTGGTCATCACGCCCTCGTAGAACGTTCCCTGCGCGCTGTTGCTGTTGTCCCCACCGATCCCGAGGATGATGGCCCCCTCTTTGTGCATCGGGTTGTACCCGGGGGTGGGGCGCACGCCGCTGTAGAACGTCGAGAGCGAGCCAGAGGCAGCGTTCCCGCCGCGGATCGCCCAATTGCCTGGCTCGCCTTTCACGACGGCCGTGACGAAGCGTGAGGTGATCGTCGGGTTGGAGGGGTTGACGGCCGTGCTGGGTCCGGTGTACAGGCCGTTCTCGAGGTCAGCCAGAATCCAGGGACCGCTGCCGGCGCCCGTGCCAAAGCCAGTACCAAGGCCAAAGTAGATGGCCTCCATGTGGCCGTTGCCCGTGTCGTCATTTGAGGTCTCTGCATTACCATAGTCGAAGCAGCACCCGCCATTGTAGTGTAGCCCTTTTAAAAAAATTACACGTCAGTATGGCATGGGAGGTAAGAAAGTAAACGAACCGTCGACAACCGCGTACAGGCCCTCCGCAGCGTCGCCCTTGAAGACAATCATCGCAGTTAGCATCCGGAGGTATAGCATGACGGACCCAAAACGACTGACCGTGGCGATTGCATTGGTCGCGTCGTTGCGATACCCAGTTCCTGGACTAATGAACACCCTGCGACGCAATCAATACAATAAACTCCCAGCCAGTATGAGTTTGAACGCACCCGTACGCCTTCTGCCCGTTTAGCGTGACCGGTGCGCCATCCGCGGCGGCCATATTGTCGAAGCCATTGGGATCGGTGCCACTGGCGGCGCCGCCGGGAGGCGCCTGCGTGAGATGGTTGGCACGACCGGACTGATCGAAGATGGTGGTGATTAGACAGGTTGTGCCGGCGCAGAAGGAGTCTTGCGCGGCGGCATTAGCGACACCGCCCGCAGACAGCGGGCCGATGTTGGTCGTCGCACCGTCGGAGCCGCGTTTAATTTGGTAGAGGGAGCCAGAGTATGCGCTGAATAGTGCCCGGGTGGTGCTGTGGGCGGCGACACAGGGAGTGCCCCCGGAGGCGTAGATGTCGCAGGGTCCCGCTGCTACTAGTGGAGCAACAAGACACAATGCGAGAAGCGAGGAGAACCGGAACATTGCTGTGAGCGTTTCGTGAGCGGCGAGCTAATTAAATACCTCGAGCAGCCTAACGTTAACTGTCACGCGGCCCCAGTCGCACGAGCTGTGTATGGACACACGACCCCAACCGTATTGCCTGGTGACGCAGTAGTGAGGAACATGCGCCTCTGAGATCACACGGAAACCTGGGAACTTTCAACTTCTTTGTTGTATGATTTCCATTTGATCCTCCGACCACTTGCGCAGGGCCACGGGGTCGTTGCGAACCGGGATTAACAAAACCTCCCCTGCATGCAGATTCGCAAACAGTGCACATTGACTGCAGCGGCGGCAGTAGTCGTGGTCGTGGTCGGGAAGAAAGAGGTAGGCGGAAACGCCCAAAAATTACGGATGCCATCCATGCCGTCGAGACCGAGCTGATTATGGATGTCAAAACCCGGGAGCGTGTGTCGAGACCGCGAAAGCCCTGATTGGCTGTATACACCCTAAATTGCACCCATGCATGAAAAACCAAGATATGTGCGAGGACCTCGCGCTGGTAGAAGAAGAGGTCACACCAAGTGGGTCACCGTTACATGACGCCACGCTTACCTTTGATCCGCTATTCCGATTGACAGATATCTCCAACGGCTTTCGTATATTTGCTTCCGAAGAGCACCTCCGAACGCTTCCTTCCAAACGATTCCTCTTACCTCGCCCATTGTTAGAAATTACTGATATCTATCTTCATGCGAAAATTCTGCATCCTGGCGAAGAATGCTCGAAAATGATTGCTCTAATCTCACACGAAACAACATGGGTGATGAAACCAAGAATGCCCTTGAACTGTCTGAATCCTCAATGAATCCTACTGAACACGCTTCTTTTAACACTTGTATCTTGGGTTGTTTACTTCATGTCCTACTAGAATTCCCAAAAAATACCCCGCTTGACATCTACACAGTACCTGCTTTTCTGAGAAACACTTCGGTGACCGAGCGAACCAAGTCCGAGAATGACCTTCCAAATAAAAACTACAAAATCATAAAATGTGTTATTGCTGCACTCCAGGAAAGGACTGGTAGAACCCGGTTCCGAACTCTGCGAGCAAATCCTGCGATGAATCTCACGGCGATCACTCCGATGGTGACCTGTCTCGACACTGCATTGACATTATGTTTACTAACCCAGGGATACTACTGAAAGAAGGAATGCAGCGGTCCTTTAGGAAGATACTTATGTCCCTCCAACACTCCCCCACTCGGAAATCAACCTCGAAAGAATCAAGTGCTCTATTTCCGAGCAATTCAAGGTCCATCCCACAATGGAAGCAATCTGATTGGCAATAAGAAGTAAACCTACTCCTCGTCTCACTCGTAATTTCTTGTGGAAATGTACACACAACATTTATCATGTTGGCCTTTTCTGGGACCAAGTAGCAAACCTCAAAATCTTGGGGAGATGTTCAGCATGCGAACCACCCAAATCAATGGAACACATATTGCTCGAATGCGGAGAACCTGGTC